CATAGTGCCGTCATCCTGCCACCAGAGGTCATTACTGACAAAAATATGTTTTCATTATAATAAAGTGTTATGCTCCCAAATAGTTTCAAACGATTAGACCAAATAGTTGAGCTAACATACAAAGCCAGTTAGGACTGTACTAACAATCAGTTTCATTCAGTATGTAAATATGTCGTATTACCACGTGAACTCTGATTGGATGGTTTATAGGTACTCATGTAATGCTTGAATGAAAATATCTCCAAATAAATTCTTACTAGTTCCTTACGAGGTTGAAGATATCTCCAATCGAATTGGTACTGGTACTTATTCTGTTTTTGATATTGTCTAATTATCAGACTAGTAATTATCCCAATAGTGACTAGTATCTAGAAAGTATTCATTAGATATTAGTACGTATTCATTAAATAGTATAACTTTTCATTAGATTCCATTAGTACCATTTAATGGATGCTAGTAACTATTAATTAGGTACTAGTACTTATGTATTAGATATTAGTAGATTTTGTAATTGTCACTAATAACAATTATTATCTTAGTCACAACTGTTTGTTTTAGTCATTTTATGTTATCACTATAGTCTGATTTCTTGTAAACAAACAACATCATACTGTGTCTCTACAGTACGTCTCTACAGTATGAAGGCACCCAACATGCAATGCAATATGAATAGATTATGCTGTACAGTTGCTTCGCTATTGTTTATTATTATTATTAGTAGTAGTAGTAGTAGTAGTAGTATTTCCATCAACAAAAAAAAACTGATTTCACAGTAAATTTCTGACTACAGTAATTTATTATAAAATAATACTCTTTAATCCTGTAAATTCCTGGCAACATTTTTACAGTTTACCATTGACATATAGTACTAGTATCTAATAAATAGTATATATTTCATTTAGGTACTATATCTAATGAATAAGTACTAGTATCTTGTAAAAGGTACCTACTAGTACCTAACGAATAAGCACTAGTAGCTAATGAATCAGTACTAGTACATAATGGAATATATACTATTATCTAAAAATAAGTACTAGTAGCATGAAACTAGATACTAGTAGTTTTTAAACATTACAAGTTAAACAGATTGCAATAAATAGCCTCTGTTCTGTGCTTGTGTCTGTCTATTTCAGTGTTTGGAGAATAGGCTGGTCACACACTCAAGTCCTGTTTTGAGAATGTTTTGTCAGTTCTTTTGTAAAAGAAAACAAAATAGCTGTTGATAAGACAATGAGCAATGCAACAAGTGCGATGCAACCAATGACTGCCTCCTCTCTCTATCGTTATCAATCTCCTGAGATTTAAACTCCCTTTTAGAGCCATGAGTGTTTACTATGAGCAAAGGATTACAATCAACTGAAACAAAAGCATTAGTATTAAAAATGATGGTAAAACAAATCTAATATGTAAAGACACAGCATAAAAATACAAATCTTAAAAAATACATATGATTATATAAAATCAAATCAAATACTTTTTTCATAAAATAAATATAAAAGTTTGTATATACTGTTCAAACATGTTTAATATATATTTTTAAAAGTCTCACAAAGGCTGTATTTATTTTATCACTTGATCAATAATAAAATATTATTATTATATATTATTACAATGTAGAATAGCTATTTCAATGTCTATTTTATTATATTATGAAATGTAATTTCCTGTCATGGCAAAGCTGATTTTTTACTCCGGTCCACATGATGCTTCAGAAATCATTATAATATGATGATTTGCTGCTCAAGAAACATTTCCACACACACACACACACACACACACACATCCAGAAATGTGCTATAAACCATACTAATGTCTCTCAGTCACTGTTTATTGTTCTTGTTAGGAAAAGCCTTTGCTGGCTTGATAATTGGTGCCCATTTCTTCCTTTTCTCTCAGGAGTGTGGTACGCTCAGGCATTGGAGGTGAATACAGGGAAGGTCCATTTCATAGAAGTGATGAATGGAAGTTCAGTACTCTTACCCTGCACTTATGCCAGCTGCATTGGCATTAAAAACCTTTACTTCAACTGGCAGTTCAAAGACAATGGGACATTGATTAAGGTGAGAGATTTAGCCATGTCTCAAACATACTTGTTTTCATGCAGTTCATGCAAAAAAAAGGTGTGGATTAATTGTCCAAATACTCTCTGATGGCACTGTCTGTTATTCTTTCCCTCAGCTCTGTGAGGCCACCATCCCAGCAGAAGGAGTAGAACCTAATGTGAAAATCTATCATGAGCGGGTGGAGTTTGTTGGCTCCAGCAAACAGAGTAACATTTCCATCTTACTGCATAACGTCACCTTTGAGGACCAGGGAGATTACATCTGCTTTGCCCGCAACCCCAAGGAGAAGGAACGCAATCATAGTGCAGTTTTCACTCTTTTTGTGGTGGATGAATGTAAGTCTCCATTTTACAAAAGGCCTCAAGTAGTGTGATTCTTTCCATTATGTTTGGTGTTTACCCACTCAGATCATCTCAATATGTTACTGTCTTCGCAGTGAAAGTGGTGGACAACACATTGACCGTCATCATTGTGTCCGTGCTTGGCGGGGCCATAGGTCTGATCATTCTCATCATGGTGGTGAAAGCTGTAGTCCTCGCCATTCTAAACAAGGTCCAGGAGAAGAAGTAAGTTTTATCCTGGGCAAACATTTTACAGTAATGAAACTTCCCATAGTTTGTATTGCTAGATAAAAACCGAATGAATAAATCTGAACCTGCCCTTATTTTCTAATTAGATACTTGGTAGATATTTAGCTACTAGATACTATAGATAGATACTATAGATAGATAGATAGATAGATAGACAGATAGATAGAAAGATTCTGCACTCTAAAAAATGCTGGGGTCAAAACAACCCAATAGCTGGGTTTGTCCCTTTTTGACCCAGCGTTGGGTTATATTTAACCCAGCATTTTTTAGAGTGTACAAACACACTGACCGACAAACAGATAGATAGCACATTTTCATTTATAATGGGCAGTGGAAAAATATGCAGAGTCATCCTCCGTTCTCCATAAACGGTGGCATGTGTGATGCACACTAACAGAAGCGACCCACCAGGGCCCAGTGCTTGTCTGGTGTCTTTGACATGGTGACTGTTATAAAATGCCTGTGAGACCAGAGCAAATGTCAATAAATATCATTTTGAGTAAATGTCAATAACAAGGCATTCTGGGTAATGGTGAAAGGGGTCATCCATCCCAGGACAACATTTCCTTATTTCCTCTGTCTGATTCATTGTAACTTAAAGGGATTGTTCACCCAAAAATGAAAATTACCCCATACCCTCAAGCCATCCTAGGTGACTATGACTTTCTTCTTTCAGACGAATACAATCGGAGTTATATTAAAAAGTGTCCTTGCTCTTCCAAGCTTCATAATGGCAATGAATGGTTGTTGATATTCAATAGTCCAATAGAAGTCCAATAAAGTGCATCCATCCATCATAAAAAGTACTCCATACAGCTCCGGGCTAACGCTAACCGTCGTACGCGTGTTCATGAAAGAGAAATCAAGTGACCGTGATTTCATCAAGTACAACATGTTCCTGGATCAACATCCTTGTTGATCCTGGAACAACATTCCAATCAACCAATCAGAATTAAGGGATAACTTTTCAGGAAATATCTGTTTTAGGCTTACGATCAGGGTTAGGTGCTTCTACACCCTTGTTAATCAGCTATCATTTCCCACTGATTTTAGGAATAAATTATGGGTAGGATTAGGTTTAGGGGTAGGGATTGGGTTTAGTCTATAATTTTGGACAGTAATGTTGATCCAGGATCAACAAAAGATGTTGATCCAGGAACATGTCTTACTTGGCAAAATCACGGCGACCCATGAAAGAGTGGCGTTCCAGCGGATAACGTAGGCACAGCGTAAACTCCTGTGAGAAGTGATGACGTGGAAGCGCAGAGGAGAGAGCAAAACAAAACACCAGTCACGAATTAGAATTACAAAACGAGGATTTGTAAAGAAAAATGTTGGAGAGGAGATTGGTTTTCCTCGGTTCTCGAGAAACTTGGTTCTTGTGAGACTAGCATATTCTCACCGGAGCTTTCACTATACCTACGTCCCATGTAATCCGCAGGAACACCATTCTCTCGTGAATGTGCATATTGCAGTTAGCGGAAGCTCTCCTTTTTTTTTTATGGGGTAAAGTAGAAAATGTCACACTTTCCTGAATTATAATGAAGAAATTATTGAAAAGAAAAGCTTATTCAATTGTTTATACTGTAATCTTCAAACATTTAAATTGGGGCTGTCAATAGATTAAAATTGTTAATCAAATTAATCACATCCTTTTGATGTGATTAATCGCGATTAATCGCACACTTCATGAAATTAAGCATAGACCATTTATCTTGTTTCAAATGTTTATTTTGTCATCATTTGCTATATCCAGCAAAGTAAACCAAAAGATTGAAGGGTGATTCATAAAAATCTATATTTTCTAAATATAAGCTATATATTTTCTAAATATAAGCTAAATTTAGATGTCTTTCCAAAAAAGGACACTTAGAAACTACAAAAGGACACCAAAGAACCAAATGATATAAGGAGCCCATATAAGCACATATGAAAGAAAAAAAATCAGAATTTTATAGTATGTGTACAGCGCAACAACAAAGAGCTTTTTTTACATTTTAGAGAAGCCAAGTTGCGATACCGAACAGGACCACATGGAGATGCCAAAAAAAAAAAAAACCTAAACCAACCGCCTGCTGATTGCATATATCTGCTACAGTACACGGATCCATTCCGTATAACTAAACACAGCAACATAAACATGACAAATCAAAACATTCGTAAATGTGTGTGGAAACAACGTGCCTGTGCATAAATACAATGTGCGATCAGTGCGTCAAGAGCACTCATACACGCATTATTATAACAGACTCACACGTGCTTACTGTACGACTCCTGTACGCCACCGCAGTCATCTTTACCTTGATTGCAGTCTTCATCCATCAAAACTTTACTAGCGAGACTGGTAATCCAGTCGAGAAAACGTAGTTTGCGTCTCATCTGGCCATACAGCGATGGGATGTGTTGACAATCCGTTCAGTCTGTACTTCACACAGGGCAACGTGTGAGGGCTAGCGCTCTTCAGAGACAATCACAGAATATGACAGAGCTCGTGTTTAAAAGCGAAACACTGGAATTAATAATTCACTTAAAACGTAACGCAAGTCTCTGTTCTCTCTGCAATCTCTGATGTAATCAGCCTGGTTTCCTTTATATTAGCGCTGTTTTGGATGGATTGTTTGAATGCATTCGCTTACTGGATCATTGGACTGAAAACTTTCCCGGAGTTTAGCGGCTTAAAATGATCTAATCGCAAGCAGAGAAGCAAAATTGGGTTAAAGGGTTAGAATAGAAATTGTGCTTTAGTGATTTTGCGTTAAATTATTTTAACGCGTTAAGGATTGTAAAATTAATCGCATGCTTTAACGCGTTAACGATGACAGCCCTAATTTAAATATGATGTCATAGAGAAGACACCTTGGGATGTTCATCTTCCATTCTCTATAGTCAATATAACAGCAATGAATCAGTCACTGTATATGTCGAGCAGCTTTCGGTTGGTCAGCTCAGCAAATCAAGTGACTAACTTGAACCAGTTGTAAATGACTGGATTTCAACAGTGACAATTTGCAAGAACAACAGTAAATATGACCACGTGCTATGTCCATATGAAATATACGAAACCAGGTATATTTCTAAGAACTTGGCATATATGTTTTGAACAACATTTTTTAAATATGTTTGTTTTTTTTTTTTTGTTTTTTTTTTTTTGTCAACCACAATCATATTTGTCATTGATTCTACAATGTCTGTCATTTTTCCTCTTTCTTATAGTAAAGAATGCCTTGTGAGCTCTTCAGGGAATGACAATACAGAAAATGGCCTCCCGGGATCCAAAGCAGACAGCAAACCGACACCAAAGGCATGAAAAGACCATGTGTGTGTACATATATGAGCATATGTATACATGCATAACAGAATCATAACAGAATGAAAGTCATAACAATGGACAGTTTTATTCTCTTTATCTCATGAGAAAAAAAAATGCTACATATAAATTTTAGATTGTGCTTGAGGAAAAATACAAAGTGCTGCAGGCTGGATCACACACACCCTTTACAGGACTGAAACAGCATAACAAATATTCAGATAGCAGATTATAGGAGTGTGCTTGCATTCTGTTCTTGTCTGTGAGACACAGCACACACACACTGCCTTCTTCACGAACTGCCATATCCTTTCAATACTCAACAGCACAAGACCCACATAAGGAAATGTTTGCGATAAACTTCCAGTGCAACTTTACACATCTTCACACTGCATTCCAAAATAACCTGAGGTGGAATCTCTCACAAGCTGACAAGTCAGTAGCAAAACTAACTCAGAAACACCTTTCTGGGAAAATACTAAACAATTTACACATAAAAACCATGGGTGCCTCTTTAAATTGGAATATGTTTTCAAGCACCAATTCAAGCAGCTAACTGAGTCTGATTATTAACCACTCCCACTAATTTTACAAGTGATTTTGAGGTCATAAAGAGCAGGATGCGAGTGTACTTGAAGGCCAGAAACACACTTGATGCAATAGCACCTCTTGTGGCAATGCTGATAATACAACACATACTTGCAGTACATTACGAATGACACATTTTATGTTTGAAAATGAGGTTGTGTAGAGTATTTTTCATGCCTAAAAGGGGGGTGGGGGGGTAATCAGATAAGGGGTGTATATCCAGCATCCAGCCCAGCACGGTTTATTATATTTATTTTTCTGCTTTTTTTTCTGCTTTAGATAAAACACAGGTGCCTGTAAACGCTTCAAGCTCCACATGCTTCCTGGGAGCCTTCAAATGCTATATAAATAAATTAATTAAACAATGCTCACATAAAACAGACAAAAAAAAAATAATCTATAGGAAATAAACACATTCAAATATAAAGACAATCCCCAGAAACCAACTCCCTGTCGAAAATGAATGATCTTTTGATGCTGCTTTCAACAAAATAACCAATAACTTTTCCTAATGCATGTGAACGATTTTATACAGTACATCTAGCGTACTATGTATCCATTTCTCAGAATCGTATTCTCCTGTCTCTTCTCACATGACTGATCAGTCTGTGCTTGTCGTAAACAATGCTACCCTCACTAGTTCATCTTGTACGTATCCGACATACAGGCATGAAGGGCCACTGTAGTTAACTGGTAAAGCTTATCATGACATCCACACTTCACAGGACACAATATGGCCATTGTTGCTAACTGCTAATTTTGAATTTTGACATCCAAACTAGCAAGCCAGCAATTTATGTGCGCAAAACTGCACCAATCCTCACAGATGCTATGCTAATACTTCTGTTTTCATATCATCGTACAAAGACACAAGCCTTCTGTGACAAAATATAATGAATCGTGATACTTCACATGCTTCTCAATGGCTAATTACAGTTCACATGTAACTATCATTAGCATAAACTTCTCAAAACTTCTCATAGATCTCAATGCTAATTCAAGAAAACACAAATTGCAGACAATACTTGTGGGATTTTGCTTGTTAGACATTCTGGAACTCTAAAACAAACTGTTTATCAAAACAAGCACATTTTCCATTTATTTAGTAGTTATTTAAGACTCAAGTGCCATACAGAACTGCTAGTGGAACGGTGGATGATTTACTTTTGCTGCCATCATGTTTCATCTGTCTTCCTCTATCCTTAACCCTATAAATGCACAATGCTCGTTCATATCCATATCTGGTTTAAGTATAAATGTACCGACAAATTCATAACATGCGATGAATGTCACTTTGCGATTACGCCGAAAAAAAAAAAAATGAAATGCAATGAAACCCTCACTATAGTCTTCCGCCATAACCCAAAGATGAATGTACCAGTGGTTGTAGTTATGGCAGAGTTCAGAGGGGTCATTTCTGGGCACTTTATTCATAAATATATACATAACAGTGTTTTGAATGCACATTGTATATGTAGAGAAAAGTACGATGTAGAATTTATCGCAGGATATTTGAATATGTAGTTGGATAGCTGCAGTGGTGATATTAAGAATAGAGGAACAGGAATAATCTGTCTCTTTGAATGGCTAGATCTCTTATATGTGCACATATTAGCAGTCTTCCAAATCACTTGACTCTCTTTTAGAAATCAGGGGCTTTGGCAATCTCAACTGTTTGGGATGCTTTTGACAGAGTGGTATGAAATCCTAGCTTGAAATGCAAGTGTTTATTGATGAAGTCTTTAATTCCTTTAAAATCAGCCGTTCTTTGGAGAAAGGGTTTGGTGCCGCTCTGTCTGTCAGATGCACTGTACAGTATGTGGTTAGTGTTGAGTGTCCTAACTGTTTTCGAGCTGTTCACATGGCCTCTTTGATTCATTTATGGCAGAATGTTTTAACATGTTATGCTTCTTACAGCTTGTTGCCTTTTGTCATTTGCAGCTAGTGTATTTATGATTAAACTGTCAGATAAACAAGGAGATTACGTAGATCAGCAATACTGTAAAAAAAAGAAAGGAAAATGTACAAAAAAAAAAAAAAGTTAATACATGAGTGCCTAGGCTCTCGAGAATGGACTGTTGTATGCAAATGGGCAACTTGAACTTTTATTAGAGTTTATTTTTTTTAATTATTATTTAGCTATTTTTAGCTGACGTTTTAATCCAATTCCTGTTCTGCTTAATTTTTGCAACTTTGTATTTTTTTCCCCTAAATATTTGGCATTTATTTGAATCAGATGTTTAATGATAATGAAGTAGTAGTGGTGGTTCTCAACTGGTTTTGCTTTGCACTGGACATCAAGTGGCTTAAGAAATAAAGCTTATCATACAAAAGTAATCCATAATGTCTTCAGAATCAAGCATTGAAATTTCTTCAACTGGAAACTACAAATATAGTATTCAATGTAGTTTTGTTCATGGTTTTGAAGGTCACATAACCTGTCCATGATGGAGTCTGTCTATTTGGACTAGCTTCTACCAAGTCGCAGGTAAAGATTTGCCGAAATGCCACAGAATTGTTTGCATGATTATATGCCTATTTTGATAGAATAATGCATTTAAAAGTATTTTTCAGTCCATCTGTGCTGTAAAAACTGACCTGCAATCCATTTTTGGTTGGCAGCCAGTTGAGATCCACTGGTGTAATGCGTACCTCTATAGACACATAGATATCTTGGTCTGGTTGCTTATGTCTGCTGGAATGCTTGGCGCAGATCAACCAACTCTGGGCTTGTTAGTAATGTCTGGGAAGGCGAGCCGCTGTTCTGAAACCAGACTGCATTGCTGCAGTGTTGCAGTGCAAACCGCATCCTAAGAGTGCAGCACTGAGCCATGCATCTGCACACATCAGGCTGTGTTTCTCTCTGGATCTGAAGGGTTATAGCAGGGAAACTGAAGGGATATGTCTGATTTCTATCATTAAAAAACAAAATCAATCAAATTGGCCAGCATTGTACGTACTATTAAGTTCTTTACACAGGAGGCTGTATAAATTCAACTTACTTCAATGCATGTCACATGTTACAGCCACTAATTTAAGGTAAATATCTACAGCTGCATTTTCAGACAGGCTGCTTGATCTTGGTAGAAAGAAAATATGAGAATATAAAATATGCTTTTCTATTTTGCAGTGAGAATTTGTTCTACTATACTTACATGGGATGTCCAAAACCACTTGCACTCTTTTAAAATTCTTGTACTATATTCATTTGAGAGTTTGTCTCACTCCGATCTGATCCCATTCAGGAACAGATTGACTTTTTGTAAAGTACACTTACAAAATAATGGATATCAAAAAAACTAGATTTCACTGCCTGGGTGACTCACTCTCACTGCCAAGCCAACAGAGTGTGAAGACTTCAATGTGCTCCAACACATTCCAAGACGCTCTGTCTCCCTCTAGTGGATTTAAGACTTCCAACATTTTTAAATAATCGAGATTTCCAGTAGCACTGGCTATGTTTGGAAAGGCAAATTAGTACACTGCTTACTGCATACTGCGCAGTATACATTGAATATTATCCGCGTTTTAAAAATAGTATGCTGAACAGTATGCAATATGCTTCACTTTTGTCACATGAATTAAGTCTTACATTTAATAATTGGAAATCCAGTAAAAAACAGATATAAAACAGATATATTTTTCATTTTTAATTGTGTAAAAGCTAGCAGAAACAATTCTAGGAAAATCAATCCCACTGTAAATGGAAATTTATGTTGGGAGCATTGCATTGTGGGGTATTCTACGTCATGTGCTCTGCTCTATACAGTGGTATTTTAGTATTATGTATGTACTATTATCATATTTATTACAATTTTAAATGAGCTTTTATTTAATATTTTCAGTTTTCGGTTGTACAGTGGAATTGAGCTAATGTTGCCGGGGATTGTTTTTCAGTTTGCGGGTTAAAGCGATCTCAAAACAACCCTCAGCGGAGGGGAAAACCATGGCAAAAAAGACATTTGGGCTAGTTTTGATTAGCAATTGAGCTGTTTTTTTTTTTTCCGCAGACCTGGCAACCCTGTCGTTTTAATTTTAAATGAAGTTTTAGTAATCTGTTTTTGTCATTTTTATTGTTGGCAGTAGTAGTTGTTGTTTTAAATAATTGCGTTTAGCTTTCATTCATTATTTTTTATTATATTTGATTTGTTCAATTTGAGTAATTTTAGTACTTCAGCTTTAATTTATTCCAGTTAGTTGTTAAAGCAACATTACTAATTTTTACATTTTTAATAGTAATAAAACAAAATTATTGCTAATTTTTAACAATAACTGCACATGCTGTATATCGAACATGTGAGCAAATGTCAAATGTAGTAGGTACAGGTAAATGTAGTAGTCACATATTGCATAGGCCTACTGCAAAAATAATACTAGTGGTATGCTAGCATGCTAATCCAAACCTAGCCATTGTATAAGGACATATGTAGAGTTTTAAAGTGTATATTTTACAGGTGTGCACAAGTGTTCTTCGTGCACCACATAGTGTAGACAAATTTAAGATATTTTATTCCTATACGTAAACCAAGACAACAGCCTAAATATACAACTATCAAAGCTACTTAAACACAAACCCTGCTGTAGCTACCACCCATCAGTGCACCCAGGAGAACAGTCTTTTCATTTGAACTCCCTCTTCTGTATGTTCATAAAGGAACCAGCTAAATAATAGGCAAAAAGGTCTGAATGGATAGCATTTGAATACTACTTTTGTGATTACTGGCTCTGACTGAGCACTTTAAACGCTTACAGACGCACTTCATGCAGCCTACTCAGAAAAAAAAAGAACATGTATGTACAGCTTTTGTCTTGAAACTTCCCTTTGTACCAACATCTGCCATATTCCCTTATCATAACTATGCACCTCAGTAGATTTCTCTGGACTGTAAAGAATAGACTAATAAACTAATGAATATATAACTATGCGAAATAAAGGTTTGCAAAAAAATATTACTAGTTGTGTTTGTTTGTTTGCTGGTGGTGGAGTCATTGACGAAACTTGTTGTTTACCACTCTTCACTTTATTATAATGAATTTGACATGACAAACACAAATCTGTACAATATTTACATTTACAAATAAATATGCTTTACTTTCAGAAGTAGGGTGAATTCAGATAAAAATGGGTGACTTTATTTGACACCGAGTTGCCTGTCAACAAAGCCCTAATTACATGAACCCTCCCTACGTTAAAAACCAACATTCATAAGTTAAACAAGTTGAAAGACATTCATTAAAAAAAAAAAAAAACAGGTTGAATGATGTATTTTAGCTTTGTGTGTTTAAATGTGTTTTCTGAACAAATATCAAAAGCCACATGAGTCTGAATGTGACTCATTTAGAATTGAATACTAACCCACAAAGGGAAATATGTGACGTTCACATACACACGGCTGTTAAATACGGGTGTCATTCTTCTTTTGAGCACTTAATCCCAGTCTGTAGAAAAATATTTGGCCTCTATAACTGATGCCATAACTTGTAATTCCATATTTAATATTAATGTAAGATTTGTTAAGCGTTTTAAAGGCACCATGGCATTTTGGCAGAGTAAATTAGCACTGGCTTTAATTCAAGATTATAACATGACACCCGACAAAAAAAGTAATCAGACCTCACAATGGTACAAGTACAGACATATTAAAAAGAGAAAAAGCAGCAGCACCCTCTTGTGGCTGTTGTTTATTCATCCTCACGACTTTATGATGCTCCTTCTTCAGTAGAACACAACGGAAGAAATGTAGCAGAATGTCCAAGCTGCTATTCTCCATATATTAAAAGCAAACGACAAGATGTCAACTTTAAATTGTAATGCGTTCCAGTTGCAAAGCTATCATATGACTTCATAACTTTTGAGTTATACTTTTGTCTGTTTTGGAACTTGATTGACCCTGCAACTCTTAAAAATAAAGGTTCTTAATTGGCATCTATGGTTCCATGACGAAACCTTTAACACCCATCGAATCTTTACATTACAGAAAAAGGTTCTTTAGTGGAAAAATGCTCTTTAGATTATTAAAATGTTCTTCATATGACTAAAAAGAAATGTTCCTTTTAAGAACTGTTCACTGAAAGGTTCTTTAGGGAACCAAAAATAATTATTCTATGGCATAACTGTGAAAACCCCCATTTGGAAGAGTTCTGTTCCCAATCCACTTTTGTTCTTTGGAGGAGAGCAGCACGAACATACGTCTAAACATCTTTTATTTTCCACAGAGAAAAGAAAGTCGTACTGCCTTGGAGCAATGAGGATGAGTAAATAATGACAGAATTGTCATTTTTTTGGCAAACTGTTCCTTTAAGATTGCATTGCTGTGTCCCAAAAAAAAGTGGTAGATCCACAAAAGATAGCATAGGTGTTATATACATACATTATATATTTCAGTGTGCAAAATCTTTATCATGGCACCTTTAAGACCCTGAGCAAAACGCCCACAGCAATTCCTCCACAAATCCATGTAAATCATTATATCTTCAATAGGATATCTTCTTTGTGAGGACTGAAGACCTTTGTGAATCTGTGCTGTGGGTTTGCGGTTTTTCTCTCCATCCCAGACTCACTGGTACTCCTGAAGACAACAAACAACCATAAGTATTCCACTCTTATATGTTTAGTAGGTGTACACAGACACATGCTGTGTCCGAATATGTCTACTTCCATACTAAACATTACATGAAAAAACAGCAATATGTCCGAATTCATAGAATTCGAAAAACAGTAAGGAAGACAATTCGTGAATAGTAGCTACAACATGTGAGGTGTAGTATATTCAAATTTTATTCATACTACCCATAGTTACGGAAGCCAGTTTCCACCACATAATAAAAAAAAAACCAAAGGATAATTGCAACATTTTATCTCACAATTCTGAATTTTTACTGTCAAGTCGGAGAAAAATGTGAATTGCAAGATATAAACTCAATATTGCGAGATATAAACTCACAATTCTGAGAAAAAAGCCACAATTGCGAGATATAAACTTAGAATTGCGACATATAAACCCAGAATTAGGGTTATTTCTCAC